GAAGAACTTGGTGACTTTGAGTGGGCAAAGGGAATAGACTCAAGAAAGAACTCTTAAACTTGATGTTCATTCATGCTCTCCCCTTGAACATGAGATTTGGGATAGAAGGATGCATGTTCAAAGAAAGACACATTCATGGTGGTGTAAAATATTTTGTTCGTTGAAGAATAACATTTGTACCCTTTTTGAGTTGGAGAGTACTCTAGAAAAATACTCTTATTGACTCTAGGATCAAATTTGCTATAGTGTTAAGAATACACATGAACAAATGCCGTGTAATCAAATACATTGAGTGGTAAATCAGGCAAAGCTGCATGGGTGTGATGAAAAATTTTTAGAAGAAGTTGACATGAAGATTTAAAATTAAGAGCTATGGATGGCATGCGATTGGTCAAATTGGTAGTTGTGAGAATGAGTACCCCCTATAAATTATTGGTAATATTAGAGGAAAACATAAGACATCGGGCAACCTCCAAGAGACTTCTATTTTTATGCTTTGCCATCCCATTTTGTTGAGTGGTGTCAACACAAGAACTTATGTAGATAATCCCATGATTCTGAAGGTATGTATTGAGACTACTAGTGAAGTATTCTCTAGCATTGTTTGACTTGAGTACCTGAATTCTGAAGTTGAATTGATTTTGAACCATAAGATTGAAGGTTTAAAACATTTGCCTAACTTAGACTTTTCTTTCATAAGGAAAACCCAAGTTGTCCTTGTATGATCATCAACTAATGTCACAAGCCATTGATGCCAAAACATTTTTTATTGTTGATGGCCCCCATACATCATTATGGATCAAAGAAAAGGCACTTGAAGTTTTGTATGGAATTTGAGGATATATAGTTTGAGTAAGCTTTGTAATCTGACAAGTTTCACTATGAAAAGATGTAGAATTTTTATTAAGAATCAATTTAGGAAACAATTTTGCAAGATACACAAAACTAAGATAACCAAGATGATAGTGTAACAATATAATCTCACCATCTTTATTGATATTTGAATTGGACACATAATTGAAAATTTCAAATATACTCTAAGATTGGATGCAACTTGCTTGAGAAACTTGGTTTGAGGATCAGTTACATGGGAGGATATATAGCACCATCTTCCCCAATTTCAAGTTCTAAAAAACACACAAGTTTGGATAAAATTTAGTAACTCATTGAAGGTCACGAACCAATTTACTAATGGACAAAAGATTACAATCCAAGTTTGGAACATGGAGGACAAAATTGAGATACAATTCTTTAATAAGATGGATGGAACCTCTTTCAACAATTTTAGAATTTGAACCATCAGTAACGGATGAACGAGCGACCACTACTTGGCTTATAATTTTGGAGAACGATAGCATTTCCTGACATATAATCAAAAGCACTAGTGTTGACTATTCACAGCCTCATGTTTCATATGTTAGCAGTGAAGGTAGTATGCGAATCTGTTTGAGAAGCCAAACCTATCCCAATAATGATACCACTGCCAATTTGACTAAACAATTTTGTAGCAAATCCATCTGCTATTTGTTAAATGGGCTAGGCTCGAGAACAAGAGTCGAGCAAGTCTCTTTATAATGACCTGGTTTATTATAGTAATCACACCGAGGCCTTTCCTATTTTTGATGATCTCCACCATTACTAGTAGATGATTTGACAACAAGGGCATATGCATCCAACGTTGATGCGGATTATTCCTTAGATCCCATCATCACTTTATAATTTTTTCATGCTTAACCTCTGAGAAAGCCTTCCTAAGATTCGGTAGTGGTTTAGTGCCTATGATTCGAACTCAAACATCATCCAACTCCCTGTTAAGTCCTAAGAAAAACTTGAACAACCTTTTTTATTCCACAATCTGCTTGTACATCACTATACCTTCTAGACATGTCCATGAGTGAGTTTCGAACAAGTCAAAGTTATTGCTAATATCGTGTGAGTGTGTTGTAATATGGAGTAACAAATTATTTTCCTTGGTGGAAGTCATGAAGTATTGATTCAACTTGAAACAACTCTGAAGTATTTTCAGAGCTAGAGTAAGTCTCTTTGCCTTCATTCCGTATTTCTTTTGCAGTACCAAATAGCAAGAAATTTTTACCTATGTCGTTGATATTGCTTTCATATTGAATCTCTCTGGTTAATATTTATCTAACCTTAGTAGTGATAATTTGTAAGTTGTGAAGAAAGTGATTGGCTACTTAAGAACTAAAAATTACATGCTTGTTTATTCAATGCCCATTAGGGGTGTAAGTGAGCCGAGCCGGCTCGAGCTCGACTCGTTTATGAGCTCGCGAGCCGAGCTTATCGAGCTCACGAGTCGAGCTCGAGCTCAAACTTGAGCTCGTTTGGTAAACGAGCTCGAGTTCGAGCTTGAGCCCGGCTCGGCTCGTGAGCTCGCGAGCCGGCTTGAATAATTTTTTTTTTATATAAAATTAAATAATTATTATTTTTATTAATTTTAAATCTAAAAAAAATATTCGGCTGTAGTCTGTGTCGCGAGTCGAGTTCGAGCTCGATATTTGACTCGCGAGTCGAGCTCGAACACCACCTGACTCGAGCTCGACTCGACTCGTTTGCACCCCTAATGCCCATGAACCTCAACTACTGGACTATTATTTCAGATTTACCAATTCATATAATAAAAAGTTCCATTAGAAAATTTTTTATGATGTCAAGTGATGTAATATATTTTAAACATGTGAAGCAAACACGTGATTTCTCTGACCCTGCTGGCTGAGTTTTTAGCATACTATATAGTAGCCACACATGTTGTTTGGTTAAGAAATTTATTGTTTACCATTTGATGGCTAAATCAATTTATAGGCCCATAGGATTATATTAAAATAGTCTTATAATTAGATAATTTTGATTTCTTTTTAAAGACTTGAGGGATCAAAATGATCCTTTAATATAGTTGGGGATCATTTTTATCATTCATAAAAAGTTAATGAACCATTTTGATCGTTTTCACTTTCTTTTAATCATGAATTCAATATCCGTTATGAGTTTCCTTGCATTCTTGATTCTAGTATGGTTTTATTAACTGTATACACAGATATAAAAGTTATTCTTAAACATTGTCTCCTGTCACACGGTACAATTCAAATTAATGGGTCGAGTGAGCTTTTGATGTCAGGAAAATTAGGGGGATAACCCTTATATGAAACTATTAGACCAGTCGATTTGATTGGGACGGAATTATGAAGTTTCCTAATTAAGAGGGAACTATTTAGGAAGGTTCTTAATCAAAGGGGAATTGTTTAGAAAAATTTTTAATTACATTTGGGAGGGAATTATTTAGGGCAAGAGATCTAATTTAAATTCAAAATCTAAGAGAGAATTATTTAGGGAAAAGGAGGAATTAAGGGGGATTGTTTAGGAAAGTCTTAATTACAATTGGGAGGGAATTAATTATGAAAATAAATCTAATTTGAATTGAAATCTGAGAGAGATTTATATAGGGAAAGGGGGTTGATTTGAGATGGAATTATGGTAGCCTATTTAAGGCCAACTATGGGGTGATTTCATATAATGTTTGGAGTTTGCTGAAATTAGAATTTCTTAGGTTATTTGGGCTTTGGCTGGAAGCTAGGGATTTGGGAGAGCATGATCTTCCTCTCGAATTGAAGATCCAACTATATCTTGCTATTTTCTTTAATACATCTTGTAATAAAAATAGTTTTGGTGTGTTTTTCTTCATAATTTCTTATTGTCGTTCTCTAATTTCGAGAAAAAGTGCATCCACTTCCTATCAAATTTGTATTAGAGCACGATCTGGGTACCTATGGCGGGAAGAAAGGTAGAAAAGTTAGGAGAGATCAGACAATTGAAATCTAATTTTGTAAAGATTTTAAGTTTCGAAGAGCTATTTCAGCCATCCATGAGAAGATCGATGAAAAATTTGCCATCATGGAGGAGATGATAAAGAAGCTTCTTGAGGGCTGATGCAACCAAAAGCTCCCAAAACAAGTAGGAGACCCTTGATCACGAAAGAGAAACACAAAATAAAAATACAATGACACAAATGACATTTAAACAACTAATACATTGATAATAATAGCATGAAACACTTAAAACAACACCTAAAGAAGCTTGCATTCATTGAGAATAAATATACAGATGGGGTGGTCACTTGCGGAGAGAAGAAAGAGGTAAGAAGCTGAGACAAAAGAGAGGACAAGCTCGCAAGCTTTCCCAAGAAGAAGAGAGGAATGGAACAAGCTCTAAAGCTTTTCGAAGAAAAAACTCTTACGTGAAACTGTTAGACCAGTCGATTTAATTGTGAGGAAATTATGAAGTTTCCTAATTAAGATGGAACTATTTAGGAAGGTTCTTAATCAAAGGGGAATTGTTTAAAAAAAAATTTAATTACATTTGGGAAGGAATTATTTAGGGCAAGAGATCTAATTTAAATTCAAAATCTAAGAGGGAATTATTTAGAGAAAAGGAGGAATTAAGGGGGATTGATTAGAAAAGTTTTAATTACAATTGAGAGGAAATTAATTATGAAAATAAATCTAATTTGAATTCAAATCTGAGAGAGATTTATACAGGGAAAGGGGGCTGATTTGGGAGGAAAAACTATGGGGTGATTTCAGATTATTTTTGGAGCTTGCTGAAATTAGAATTTTTGAGGTTATTTGGGCTCTAGATAGAAGCTAGGGATTTGGGAGAGCCTGATCTTCCTCTCGAATTGAAGATCCAATTGTATCTTGCTATTTTCTTTAATATATCTTGTAATAAAAATAGTTTTGGTGTATTTTTCTTCCTAATTTCTTATTGTCGTTCGCTGATTTCGAGAAAAAGTGCATCCACTTCCTAACAGAAACCATCAAACATTTTCTCTTCTAGCGCTGATGTTTCTCTTATGTGATTCTAATTGGATGCTTCTTGATACAACTAATATCAAGGCTGGCTTATGTTAGTTCTGCACCATGATAAAACTAAAGATGCAATTATTATATTTAGCCAAAATTGAAAAATGTTTTCACTCCTTGTTACAGGCAAAATTCATGCAGATGTAGTGAGTTTGAGGTCAGTGCAGATAACTGATGGTTCCAAACTAATGATGATAGCTACTCTGGATCAGCACATAGAGGTAATTAAAGTTTACTTTTTCACTGCGCACATTGATTTGTATGAAGTACTTAAAAATGCATTTGTTTAAAGGATATTGATCCCTTTGTTATACGTTTCATTAAGTGTTCATTCCTTTTTTAAAGTCATCTAGTTTAAGATCTAACCATTAAAGTAAACGACCTCCTTGTTGAAGAAGAGAGTTGCAAAAATACATACCATTGAGTTATTTTTAAGACTAATTGGACAATTGGAGTACATTTCAAGTGATGTAAACTTCACTTGAGATTTTGTGACACTTTCTCATATTCTACTGTCTGCTATATGTCCGTTCATCCGATGGTCAAGGAGCTCTATGGTTCATTTAGTCAAATTCTGTAGAATGAATGTACTTCTTTGGCTTCATGGATTGTGGTGGTAGCATTTTAGGTGTTCTGATTTATTTTGATCTTGTCCTGACATTTTAATCATTGGATTTAACCATGCGATGCATTTTTGTCTTTTGGCATATAACATTGAATAGGATGAACCAAGTACAAAAGATGGAGAAGACTATTTAAGTATTGGCGGTTCTTTTACCAGAACTCAAAAAGTTGCCATTGCAAGGGCTATGACAATATCTCGACGTAAACGTTGGAAGAAAAGTGGTGTTGCTAATTGGTCGGGGAGGGCCTTGAAGGTATGAATTGCTTTTTATTTGTGTATAGGAATACACGAATGTGGCTTATTGCTTGGATAAAATTGATTTACATATTCTAGATAATTGTTCTAGTGTTTTTATCCAGATATGGATATATCCACTGCATTACATGCTTAATCCAGACCCAGTTAATCAGTGCAAATGTATATTGTTAGATGACATTTGTCTAAAAGTAGATTATTTCCCATATGCAATGGATTGCCAAGGTAAATGGGCTAGGTTGGGTTATTGGGATTTTCTTGCATGTGTTTTAGGAGAGGGATGAGGGATTTATGTGTGTGTGTCGGGGGAGAGGGATGATTTGAACCCTACAACAACAACAACAACAACATCAAGCCTTTATCCCACTACGTGGGGTCGGCTACATGAATCCTTTTTCTCCATTGTGTCCTATTAAAAGTCAAATTCTCGTTTAAATCTAATAAAGAAAGGTCATTCCTAATATTTTCTAACCAAGTCTTTTTAGGTCTACCCCTACCTTTCTTAACACAAGTCAAATCTAATACCTCTACTCTCCTAACCGGGTCATCACAAGGCCGATGTTTTATGTGACCAAACCATCTAAGGCGACTCTCTCTAATCTTATCTTCTACTGGAGCTACTCCAACCTTTTCACGTATATGCTCATTTCGTATCCTATCTCTAAGGGAAAAAAAAAAAAATAAATAAATAAATTTATCTGTTCTATTATTTTGAATTAAAGAAATTGAACTATTGTTTGTACAACTTATCCTTGAAGATAGAAATTATCCTTGAAGATAGAAATGCCTTTATTAGAGGAATAAGTGTCCTTGAGTCCTTCATATGATAATTTTACTAAAATTTAGTATATATGTACTATAACGATTAAATTTAACTTTTTTTTCGGAATAATAATGCCTAGTTTTTGCAAGGAGTACAATGAGAAATAAAACAAATAAACTTCCTTATGATTAAAAGTAAACAACTTTCAATAAGGGGCTATTTGGTTTTCTAAAAAAGAAAATGCAGTGTAAAATAAATACTATGAGGTTATTTAGTTGTCTGCAAAGTGAATTCATGAGAACTATTATTTCTGTTTGTTGGCTGTATGCAGACTAAACTAAAATTAGTGCATTATGAATAATAAGAGGTCGTTTGGTTGGATATCTATTAGTAAAGTGAAAATATTATAATTTGATCAAATATTTTGAGTCCACATCAATAATTATAATTTTATGAGATTTTGAAAATTTTATATAAATACTGCCGTTGCCTGGTCCCATGTTCTGGATGAGAAAAGTGGAGGGTTGCATTAGGTAGTCGACAGCCAGCGTAAAACTTGTCGAACAATAATGACATGAATCCTTTAAGAAATTGTGTTAATGCTAGGGCGTCCCCTGGAAGCGACGCGCTGTATGGCCTGAATACAGTGACAAGTGTGCAAGGGCCGCTGCACCGACGCCTGGGTGCAGTGTTAAATAGGCAAGGGTTCCCACATCAAGGATGGATGTGGGCAAAGAAGCTAGTCCATGAAACTAAAATTAGGATAGGAACTTGGAATATATGTTCCCTTACAGGAAAATTATTGGAATTAATATATGTTATGATTCGTAGGAAGTTAAATATTTTGTGCATTCAGGAAACTAAGTGGGTTGGAGAGAAGGCTAAGGAAATTGATAGTTTAAGATTTAAACTTTAGTATTCGGGTAAGAGTCGTACTAGAAATGATGTAGGTGTTATTATAGATAAGACTTTAAAAGATAATGTTATAAAATTAATAGGATTGGAGATACAATTATATCTTTAAAGATTATTGTTGATGATATGATTGTTAATATTATAAGTGCTTATGCTCCTCAAATAGGTTTGGATATAAGTTCTAAATTAAATTTTTGGAATGAATTAGAAGAATTA